GTTGGTATTGGACTACGACATCACGAGAGAGGTGGTTGGTCATTCGGGGGGTGCCTACTACTCCTACTACTACTGCTACCACCACCTCCGGAACAGAACAACCACCGTTAGTGCAACTGCCACAATGTCTACCACTAGCACCACCACTACCACGACTTCGACGAGACAACGACAATGACTACGAGGATAACTCGAAGAGTCGGCTGTAACTAAGGACATGACTATGGCTACCCTCTTCACCCTCTTCTACTACATTTCCTCGTCGTGCTCCTACTCCTACTGCTCGCACCCCCACTCCCAGTCTCGCTTACGACCACGACGACGACGACGACGACGACTACTACTACTACTGCAACTACTGCTACTGATACTGCTAACGCCAACCCTGCTAGCACATGTCACAACTGCTTAGGCCCGAGCGGAAGTTCCACAGCCGATCTCCATGCAGAGGATTCTGATGCACGAAGAATGAGGTCGGTCCTGTGGTTGGGGGCCACACGTGAAGTTACTATTTGTCTGCTACAGTCTGTTATCTGCGTGCTACTACATGTCTACGAAGGATACCCTGCAACCTCTGTCCTTCAACTCGGTGCACCAGTCTTTCAGAACCTTCGCCTGACCAGATCTGACCATCTCAGGGACAGTCTACTTCTCACCGAAGGCTTCAGGGCCCCAAACCCCAAAGCCCGCCAAGAACACCTGATGAACACGCAAAGCGAAACTCGAGTGCCGAAAACAACATGTAACGAAGATGGACTGACAAGCTGACTCGCAACTCTCCGCACAAGCGCAAGGGCCGTCACTGCTGCACTGACAGTCAACAAGCTGCAAGTTACTGCGGCTCCAACCGTGGTAGAGACTGCACAAATGACTCTCGCCTGCTTTGCTTTCAGGTCCTGGTGCCAAAGCTTGGCTGAAAGAAGCTCAGGGGTCAAGGGCCTAGGTCGCTGCAGGCATCTGCAAAAACACACTTCCCGTGCAACGATGCAGCAGCCACAGCAGCCACGAATTCACATGGTTTCGACTTGCGCTCCAAACTGCACCATGTCCTGCGCCACATTAGCGAAGATGGGGTCATCGCCCAGCAGCCGAACCTAAGAGCACCCAGAGACACATGTTGGGGTGGTTTACAGTACAGAGACACAAGTAGGAGTACTTCGGGCTACAAGATATGCACTGGGGGAGAAGGCGAAGGGGCTCGAAGCCTGCAAATCCGCGGGCCAAAGAAAGGCTATAGCAGATACAAGCTTATCAATGCAGCCGGTCATTTTGAAACCTTGTGATCTGAAGAGATCGGCACCTGAGGTAGCTCGACCATGGGCCTTTTGCCTCGGAACTCCTCGAGGACTCGAATCCGAGCTCGATCACACGCGCGCGGCACATGCACTGGCGATCAACAGACCATGGCAAGCGCGCCGGGGCACTGCTTCGGTTCTGGCAGTCTAAAACCACGGGAACTGCGACAAAGCAGATGCGACCCAAAAAAGCTTCTAAAGGTATTGAAATCGGCTGTGCATTTCAAAAACTTCTTCGTAGAGACAAAACTGCTACCTACTGGCTGAACTGTACGTGAACGAGACCTCTAGGTCTGCAAAATTCTTGTGTTGGGCCGCTGTCATTCCATTGGCTCCGGAAGCACAAGACATGCCGAGAACCTTCTAGCGACAACTGCGACTTACTACTACTGCTACTGCACTGCTGCTACTGCCGGGCCCATGCCCTCCTCTACTTATGGCTCCGTCCATCGAGCTGGATGTAAATGCAATTGCAGAGGGGAACCGTTGCAAGCAGCGCTTCAAAAAGTATCGACCTCCCATCCCGAAGAACCATCTTCCAAAGGTAAGGGCGTGCGTGAAGTGTTCTCAACAACTCACATCGCGTGCACGAAAGCAGGATGGGCGTCGATACTTTGAAAACACCTCAAGCGATTCAGCACAGGCATGCCCGTCCCTCTCTGCCCTTGCAGATCCTGCTGCCACGCCTTTCTGTTCGGTGCTGTGTTTCCTGCAAACACGACAACCTGATGGTATAAAACTATCTAGATGCAGAGCCTTCAACTGTTGAATTGCAGGCAGGTTCTCGAACGAAACGAAATGCAAGAGCACCGCTTTCTCACTCCTTGCCGTGCAGTGCGGCAAGCATTTGCATCGCCGAGATCTGTGCCGTCAAGATCTGGCAAAATTGGACAGCCAGCAAGAGAATTACACAGGA